TAGAAAAAATAAAAAAAAAAAGGAAGGAAAAAAAGAAAATTGAAATGGAGGCCATAGAGAGGTGCCACATCAGCTCCTCTATGATCCTCATTTATATATATATATATATATTGATTTCTACCAGCTTTTCTATGTTATGGGGCACAATTAAATATATTCTAACTGTTACTAGTTTTTCAAAATAAATGTACATATATACGTATGATTTTTTTGAAAATTAGCAGGTTCTCGTGTGGGTCCGCCCATGACCTAATCCAAGCAAAGTACATACACATGGTATATGAATTTCATGAAATATAATTGTTATTTGATACCAACTATAAACATTGAGAATATATGTAAAGGTATATCAATATCATACCAAATTAATGCCAAATATATACACAATATACCAATTTAATTGCCAATAATGTATCAATTTTTATTTTATTTTTTATCGTGGTTTTCGGGTATCGCTTTGCGAATCGGACTAGCTGTATCCATCGGGTTTCGTTGTTTAAAGACGGGTGCACTACGACTAGTTCCATGGGACCCTGGAGACGTGACCGGTTTGTAATGCCTCCAGTGGCCCTACTGGGGTTCGAACTGGCGACTTGAAGGACTTTGTCCTCACGCCTTTACCAGCTGAGCTACCCTTCAGGGTTGTATCAATTTCATGTCACCTATAAAGAAAAAAATACAACTTTGTAGAATCTAAAATGTGGAAAGATCAATATAGGTTGTGATGCAGTGAAACTGCTTTATTCTTAATCAAATGTCCTAAGTTCGAGCTTTCAATGTAAGAAAAATCTTATTAAAAATGTGATATATAATTTAAATTTAATCAGTATTTTAATATGAAATTCAAATCACGCAAAAGAAGAAAAAGAAAATATGAAAAGGGTGTTGAAAGGAAGATGCCACTGCCACTGATGACCTGCCAAAGATTAGATACTCATGACAAATTGTGAGACCAAATCCCCACTCCCACCACCGACCCCTCACAACTAAACCCTAGTTGAGAGCCCCATCATTTTATAATAATTACACCTCCATAATCACTAGTCAATCTTCAAAAAAGTAATTAAGTACTTATTATGGTATCTTTTCGTAATAAATAATTGTTGTACTACTTTTGAATATTTCAAACTTAATTTTAAAATATGGATTGAAATTCACGGTAAAAGTTATTTCATGCATCCCCTCTTATAAGATTGAGACTTTGTTTTTAGATTGTTATGAATTAATTGACACTTATATTTGGAATTGTTTTTTTTTAAATTTTAATATTCACATTCTATATTATATGATTATATCAAATACCATAACATCTTAAGATATTTTTGATATATTTTGTAAGTTTGTTCACACCTGTGATATGTATATTTATTGAGAATAACCGTTGATGAACAAAATCTAAACCATACTTTTCTTTATTGTTGTTCCTAAAATTGCTAAAAATAATTTTATAAACAGTGTAATTTATCTCATACATAGCAATTATCAAATCATAAAAAAAAAAGATTTAATATTCATCTTAAACATCGATTAAACTTTTAACCATTCAATTATTTTAAACAATAAAAAAAACATCAAATAAAAAAGTTACGTGTACAAACATTCTCTCGAAATTCTATTGGGGATGCATTAAAACAATTCCGAATCAAATGAGTAGATACTTTAGTCCGTGAAGTGAGAGAAAAAAAAGGGAAGATTCCAAAAACACAAGGAAGAGGACAATCAAATTGAATAGCGTATTTTGTAAGCATTTCGAGGGTTACGTACCACAAATCTACAATTCTTTCTCCTATAAATATAAAAATTAAAAATAGGGGAGAGGAAGAGAAAGGTGTGCTGTATCAATGGAAGAAGCTAATAATAACACAGAATCTCCCTACATTTCTTCTATCTTACCTGGATGGTTCTCTGAGATTAGCCCACTTTGGCCTGGTATGCTATGCTATGCATTTCTACATATAAACGAAAATGGATATTGACGATTCATAGATTTCAGATTGAGACGCAGTTGTTGTTTATCATTGAATTGCTTTTTTGGATAATCTCTGCAATTGTGTTTTTTGAAGAGATTTTAGTAGATATGATGTGCCTGCTGCTTATATGTTGGATCTATCTATTTCTGCATCTATATGTTGAATTATTCATTTTTTGGATGATTGCTTGCAGTTGAGAAACAAGTGTTTCACAAAAATTTTGGTTTATTGTGTTTAGGTTTATGATTTTCTACTTATGTGTGCATTGTCAAAACCACTCTGTAACCTGTAAAACGAATGTTTCAGTTTTGCGAATTCAAATAAACTCAACTGTGTCTAGCTTCCAAACGATATGAGTAGTTATCTGTTATATTAAACCTTATATATTCAGTTCACTCTACTCGTATAAATAATATTGATTATTTTTACCTGACCGTTGAGTTAATGCAATGGTGAGCTTCAAATCAACTATGTTTTGCGAATCTCACGTAGGTGGAGATTACTAACATAATTTTTTCTATATGGCGAATTTATCAGTTTTTCGTTTCTGTAAAATATGTGGAAGATTTTGAAATTCATTTATTTTTACTTACACTACTTGTATTCTAAGCTTTAGAATCATAACATATTTGATTGTTTATATGTGTGGAAACCTACATAGTTAAATGCTCTTCAGTCAGTTGTAGCCAAGAGTTTTTTATAACCTTCTTATGGTTTTCATAATTATGGGACAATCTAATTTTGAAATTGAATATTTATATGCAGGGGAAGCACACTCATTGAAGGTTGAAAAGATATTATTTCAGGGGAAGTCAGATTACCAAAATGTCATGGTTTTTCAGGTAATTCCATGATGCATATCATGCTTTGAGTGTGCTCATCTCACTGTTTGATTGAATGAGTTCTCCCTAATTTGATGCTCACTACGTAAGTTTATTTCTACTGCAGTCATCAACTTACGGAAAAGTGCTTAGTTTGGATGGTGTTATACAACTCACAGAGCGGGATGAATGTGCTTACCAAGAAATGATCACTCATCTCCCACTTTGCTCAATTCCAAACCCCAGAAAGGTACATTACTCAATAGTGAATATAACATCTCAGTATGAAATGTACATCTTGGAGATTATGTGATTTTGATGTTTATGTAATTTCAATCTTGTATTCGTTTGGCACTTTGCTAGTTTCCGTTGACAATGACACAAACTCAAAATAAAAGAGGATATATCCCTGTCTGCTACTTACTTTGTAAATAAGAAGTATAATGCTTGTGCTCAGTTCTCACTAGTCCTATTTTGCAAAGAACAGATATAGGTAATTAGCACCTCTTTCGAACCCAAACTTCTTTCCTCTTAAACTTAGTACATGTGATTATTCTTGCATCCTATTTTCTGTGGCTTTGCCTAGTAATTTCATTTTATAGTAACTAGTAAGTCTATACGCATGTTTGTACATGCTATCATCTTGGTTTTCAGACAGGCTGATTTAAAAGCGAATGAGAACTTGTAAGTGGGAAGACTGCCAGCCTTTACTAAGAATCACATCACTGCATGCATTCTTAGTTTGGCCAAGAGATACTTTATGGAATTAGATTACTGTCTTCTACTTGTGTGCCAAATTTCAAGTTTGATTTTCTTACTTTAGGTGTTGGTTATTGGAGGAGGTGATGGTGGTGTCTTGCGTGAGGTGTCTCGGCATTCTTCTGTTGAACAGATAGACATATGTGAGATTGACAAGATGGTAATTGATGTAAGTTATCATGCTTCTTCCTTCTTTTAATTAAAGTTGTACTTTTGTTCTTTTTTTTCTCTTATCTGCACCAAGGGTAGAGAAAAATTGTTGAATTTGGCAAGTCTAAAGATTGTACACATTTGTTTTCCAGTACCCTGTGGCATATTCAGTCTTGATGTGGTAGATGCGGCAAGACTCATTCCTTTCTATGATTCCTGTAGTTCATTGCTCATCAGTTTGCTCGGAAATTTTGATTTTGGTTGAGCATTGCTCTATAATGATCTCATAATTCCTTTTTCTTTTTCAGGTCTCTAAACAATTTTTCCCTAATGTAGCTATAGGATATGAGGATCCCCGAGTCAAACTCCATGTTGGTGATGGTATGATCTGAGAAGATGACATAACTAATTTCTTTTTTTTTTTGGTCTTTTTTGAATTTATCGATTAACTGTTCATGAGCTTTTCCTTTTCCTCTCTCATTTCTGTAGGAGTTGCATTTTTGAAAAATGTTCCAGAAGGAACTTATGATGCAGTTATAGTGGATTCCTCTGATCCCATAGGTAATTAATCTCTTTACTTACCTACTTGCCTGTGTTGTATGAATTTCATCTCTTAAACTTTTCTTCTTTTAATTCTAGGTCCAGCACAAGAGTTGTTTGAAAAACCTTTCTTTGAATCAGTAGCAAGGGCTCTGCGTCGTGGAGGGGTTGTCTGTACTCAGGCTGAGAGCATATGGCTTCACATGCACATAATTGAAGATATCGTGGCAAACTGCCGCCAGATCTTCAAAGGCTCTGTCAACTATGCCTGGACCACAGTTCCTACTTATCCAAGGTACACGTTCAGGACATTTGGTGATATGTATGCATTATTTTGTTAATCTGGTTTGTCATTCATGTCTATTTTGGATTGTGGTGAAAACTGACAATACCTGACTGTTGATGTATTGATCCCAATTCGTGTTGTTTTTTCCGTCTTTTATTTCAGTGGTGTTATTGGTTTCATGGTCTGCTCTACCGAGGGACCTGCGGTTGATTTCAAGAATCCAATTAACCCAATTGATGTTGACGATAGCCACACCAAAACTAGAGGACCCTTGAAGTTCTACAACTCTGAGGTATGATGTCATTCTGCTCTCTGGTTCCTTTTTCTAATAAACACTCACTTCTCAAGTACTTACTGTGCGCGATTGACTTGTTCTCTTCATATTTTTGTTCCCAGATTCACTCTGCATCGTTCTGTTTGCCTTCTTTTGCAAAGAGGGTAATTGAATCCAAAGGAAAATGAGTCCTTAGTGGAGCAGGATTTAGCTGTTTTAGAACACTTCATTTCCCACCCCCCCTATACAAGATTAGAACATCTAGCGTTGGAACTTTTATGTTTAATTTGATACTGCGACTAGGCAGTTGAATCCAGAGATGCCTTGCTGATTTTGTTCTAGTTGTAATAATCATGTTGAGCTCAGTCATTGAAGATTTTCTACGGATTAATTTCACTTCTTTTCACTCCACTCGCTATTACATGAAAATGTATCGAGTCCTTTTGGTCAAGCTTTCGAGATCTATTTATTTTGGGAATCAATTTTGTCAAAAGTGGATGTTCAAGCCAAGTTTTTAACTACTGTTTTTGGACATTCAACAAGTTCTCTTCTTCTTTTATCAGCGCTTAGGAATGGCAATAGGTAGGGCTGACCATAAACATCGGAAAACCGAAATATCGAACTGAATCAAATTTTTTTGATATTTTGGTTTTAGTTTTTCAGTTTTTAGTTCGGTATTCGGTATATGTTTTTATATTTTTTGGTATTTCGATTCAAGTTTTGGTATGTAATTTTGTGTTATTTGGTATTTCGGTTTACCGAAATATATTATATTATAATATATATTTATATTATATTAATTATTAATGTTAAATAATAAATATTATAATTTAAAATAAAAAATTAAAAAGTAAAAGATATGTAACTATTATTAGCCCATTAAACTGAAAAATCAAACAAAAAAAATTGTAAATTTTTAAATTTTAAAAACCCACTAAGCAGGCCCATTATAAAAATTGAAATAACAAAATCGAATCGAAATAATATAAGTCGAATCGAACTGAATTATTTCGATTCGGTGTTCCATACACGTTGTACAAGAATCGAAAATCGAAAAAACCAAAACCGAACTGAATTAGCGAATGCCTACCCCTAGCAATAGGAGGGGTTAGGGTGGGGTAAGTCTTGACTTGCTATGATTTTGCCCTCTCATATTTAGCTTTTCCGTTTATGTTTTTTCTTATTTATCTTTTACAGTTGTCTTCTAAACAAATTTAGTCAAGTTTTTAAAACAAATTATTGGTAGCTTATGTAGAATTAATTCTAGGAGAAGTTGCAGCACGGTGCAATTTTATATATAGTAATTAGGGGAAAAGGACAAATATAGCTTGTAACACCTCGTATCCAAAACAGATCAAAAACCAGCTTTTCAGAAAAATCTGCAGGTGCAGCCGACGTGACCATCGACGGACCGTAGCCTGACCCGCGGTCTGTCCTTCACAACCATCGATGGGATCAAAAACTCCCAAAAATCTCAGCTCAGGAAAATTGGTTAAGTCTTGGTTGACGGATGGACCTATGGTCCGTAGGTTAGACTAAGGTCCGTAGTCTATGATCGTCGATCGAGACCCCCTTCACCCACTCTCTGACAAGAGCCACGGATGAACAACACTGTCCGTAGGTGGACCCACAGTCCGTAGGCTGGAATTAGCAGGCAGTTAAGGGGGAAGTACAGTTGGGTCAACTTCAATTGGTCATAAGTCTTAGCACAAAATGAATTAGGTGTCCCATGACCTACCAACAGATAGATAATTGAATTAGCTTTCCATAGCCACCAATCATGCAAAAATCAGACCTCCGAGTAAAAGGTTATGCCCGTTTTAGTAAAGGTCTGTCAAACAGGCCCAACCTACGGACCAAACGACGGGGCGTGGATCAAACGACGAACCGTCTGTCATGGCCGTCGTTTGGTCCGACAACAACTTAACAAGGGGTCTTTTGGTCCTTTCCCACTCTGTTAAAATCATAAGTTACACCGTTTTGACCCTAAATAATCAGATTTTAGTCAGTTTAAGTCTAGAGACATAATTAAAACTTACCTAAGTCAAATCATTAAATTAAAAGTTATAAAATTAAAAGCAAGAAATGAGAAAAAGCTCAAAAACCCTAGTTCAAGAACAAGGCAAGTTTCCAGCAGTTCCAACCCCAAAATTAAGTGTTTCTTCGTGAATTTTATCACCAGGTATACGGGATTTCACTAGTGGGTTCCTTTCACCCATTGGTTCCCTAGTTTTCAGTCAGATTCTTGATTCCCATATCATGATTAGACCTAGGGTTTTTATAACTTCAACAGAACTTCATGAACTTATTATTTATATGTTCCAATCAGATTATCATGTTATTATTCAGTTTATTGCATGAATATCGGAACCCTAGTTATGTATTTCTTTAGTTCTTGAATTACACATACTAGGTCAGATAATTCAATTACTTCAGATATACATGCCTCAATTATAAATGCATAATTACCAAATTAATTGTTGTATTCTCAGTTCACATGTTTGGTTTTGAGCTATCCAGTATTCACAGAAAATTCAGACATAATCAGTTAACTATATAAATCCATGGGAGTAACATAATACCGAGTTTGACTAGGGCTCAGCGTACCCAATTATTTCCAAAACTACTAGCCAAGTAGGTTGTAAGTCCCCTCTGTTGGCAATCAGTTTAGTGATCACGCCAGCATGCCTTCATACCTTTGGCAGGATATATTGGGTCCTCTCGATGGGGTGTATATATAGGACTCCACATTTAGCTCATGTGGTTTTATATTCGGTTATTAGTAGCTTCCACAGTTCAGTCAGACTCTCTAGATTGACCATTTATCAATATATTCAGTATTCAGTTTTAGCATGTTATAAATTGGTCATTGCATTCAGTTAGCTCAGAAATTCAGTATATCATGTTCAGATTATCATACTTGTTTTTGTGCTTGTTCAATTATGTTTTATTTCAGCTTTACTCTATCCTACATGCTCAGTACCTTTCAAGTACTGACGCATACATGCATTACATCTTCTCGTGATGTAGGTTCAGGTCTCAGCATCCAGATCACACATAGATCGCTTTCCTATCTTTCCTATCTCAAGTTCAGCACATTCAGTGGTTAGTCCTCATTCTCCGAGGACAACAACCATGAGTGTCATTTCAGTCTTTAGTCATTTAGTTTCAAGTTTTGCTAGATTTAGCTAGGCTTGTCCCAGTATTTCTAGTCCAGCTTAGAGGCTTATTTCAGACACAGTTAGTTTCAGCTTAGTGTATATTTAGTAATTTCATTGTATTAAACTCATCAGTAATAGTTAAAATAAGTATAAATCAATAAAAGTGATCGTGCTAGAACCACATGACTCAAGGGATGCCTAACAGGGGCGGAGCTACAATATATGAAGGGGGTTCATCCGAACCCTCTTCGGCGAAAAATTATATTATTTATACATGGTTAAAATATATTTATATTTATATGTAATAGATTTCGAACCCCCTTTGACTATCTATTTCTATAGATTTTGAACCCCCTTATTGAAAATCTTGGATTCGCCTCTGATGCCTAATACATTTTCCTCAATCAACGAAATTCCTTAACCGAATAGACCATATAAAAAGTCATTTTCTTTTGATTAGAGATTAAAAAAGGTGACTTGAAACACTATAACTCAAATCCAAGTGGCGATGAAACAAATAAAATAACCCTCTAGTTTGCTGTCACAACCCAAAAATGGACGTGATGGAACTTGTCTTATCCCACCAAGACAAGTCAGCCTAAAACTCAACTTATTACAATAAAATGCGGAAAACTTACTATTGACTTACATTATACCCCAAAACCTGGTTGTCACGTGTACAAGCCTCTAAAGTATTACAATTGATTCAAAAGAAAAACTCACGTCTCAAATGAACTTGTTTCTAGAATAGAACAAGATCATAATTATGGAGAAGAAAGTCTGCTGAGAAGTAAACAACTACCTCACAAATCTCCAAGAAGCTTCGGAAAAGAAGAGAATGACAAGTTTAACAAAAATCCAGACTCATAACCTACAAAAATTTGTAGAAGCAAGGGGTGAGTACCAAATCACACGGTACTCAACAAGTAAACCTCTAAACACAAGCTAAGGAGATGATATACGGGTACTCCTACCACCCCCAACCGAACCTCTACAACTACAACCTGCATTAAAATCAACCCAACCTAACAGCTCACTGCTTACATAACACGTAGCTCAACAACAACTCTTAGACAAATTAGATATCCTCTACAACGACAATTGGACAAATTACATATCCTCAACAACAACACTTTGGTAAATTACATATCTTCAAATACAATACTTTGGTAAATTACATATCCTTAACAATAATACCTTGCCAAATTACATATCCTCAACAACAAAACTTTAACAAATTTTATATCCTCAAGAACAAACTCAGTATTCATCAATCACAAGTTCCACAGAAAGGCATTCACAAGATCAGCAAAACACAATATCAAGTTCACTAATGATAAGCATGTGCAATGCAATGGAACTCAATGTCAAGTATAATGATGCATGCCTGACCTAGTGATACACACCCACTATCTCTAAGTCTGGGTGTCACGACCCAAATCCGGGCCGCGACTGGCACCCACACTTACCCTCCTATGTGAGCGAACCAACCAATATAAACCTTAACATTTCAATGTAATAACAACAGAAAGTAATGCGGAAGACATAAACTCATTAATAAAAACCAATTCAATAACTATCAATATTCAACATCTATTATTCCCAAAACCTGGAAGTCATCATCACAAGAACATCTACTTTAAACTACTAATTCTAAGAAGCTAAAAATACATAAGAAGCTAGTCCATG